TTCCTGGAATAAATTTTGGTTATAAATATACTTATGACAAAAAAAATCTCTACACATTTACTTATGTTTGTCCCTCCTGAAAATTAAGACTGATTCTGCCCCATATGCAATTACCTGAAGCCAGCTATCTAACATGCGTTGCAACGTGTGCTTGAAGTTAGGATTCAAAACAGCATCTTTCATGAAAAATACGATTTTTCATTAGTTGTATGGATCCTTGATTATTACAAAACACATTGAATTTGTCTTGAGAGAACCCAAGCTCTCTAACAAATCCCTATAACCAAATGCCTTCTTTGATTGATTCAGTGGCAGCAATGAATTCTACTTTTTTGGCAGACAATGCAACTACCTGTTGCCAAGAACACCTCCAACTTACCAGATTACCAAATACAATAAACATGTATCCTAAATATCTCGTAAAATCTAAGTCAGTGTAGCCTGAAAGAACACCTCAGTCATCGTCAATGTCTGTTTTCCATATAGCATTGTATCTACTATATACTCATATGATTTCGCCAAGGAGCATAATATAATGATACACCGGTCTTCCTCTTCAATCTTCAATTCCACTTTCTTGAGATCTAATATAATATTATAGAATTTGTTCATTTGCTTCCTTAGATCCTTAGATGCATCCATTTGCAATGTGTACAACTGCTTCTTCAAGAACAGGCTAATTCCTAGAGATCTTTTTAAGAACGGTGATTCAAGCTTCTCCCACACTTTGATGGTTGTTTCTTCTTCAACAACTTTCTAACGTTCCCGCAACTCCTCGTCACCAAGAGAAAACAGTAAGGTGTTGTGAGCTTTCAAATGCATTTCTTTTCCTCTTACCCAATCGATTAAGGATGCGAAGCCTTCTTTGGAAATTGTCTCCGATAATCTTCGATGAACTAGCAACGCTTTCATTTTTATTCCCATAGACTAAAGTTATTCTCACTAATGAATATGGCGATTTCACTGCATAGTCATCATCTTGATTTCTCCTGCACTCTGATACCAATTGTTATGCAGTATCATAGCTTTTTAGTGCAAAAATTAAAGATTTGCACATTATCTGATATATGGCGAATTCTTGAAGCCAACCGAGCTAGCTAACGAACAAAATAGCACCCCAGCGTGTGCCTGAAGCCAGCTATCTAAAATGTGCCCAACGTGTGCTTGATCAGGATTCAAAATAGCACTTCAGCAAATAGAAGAAGCCATAGTTCATGATCAACATACTCGCATAACAAATGAAAATTTTTGTTCTTGGAACTAAGTAAATGAGGAATTTAATCTACCACAAATTACAAAATGTTTTGCTATTTATACATCAATCAGAATCAACTCTGAAAAAGTGTCTATGGATAGACAGGAGAGTACATAAACTATTAATACAATCTAGAACTACAGGAAACACAACTCTCCTTGGCCGATTGGTTGAGAGCTTAGGCTTCCAACTAAGAGGTTTAGGGTTCGAGTCTATGTGTATGCGTTGTGTGTGTGAGTTTGCCTTAAATGACCTAAATGTCCAAAAAAAATAACTACAGGAAAAAGCCTGCGTACATGCACACACTGAAACTAGATGATGAGAATGTATTAGTTTGCAAGGGAAACCACACAGTTTCATTAGGTTGTTCACATTTCAGTATTCCTCTCATATGTTGTAGAGGTTCTCCGATTAATAACTCATTTTCTGTATAACCTGAAAATACAAAATTTATAAAAAATAAATACAGATGTCAGAAAGATCGTTGTCAGGGGGAAGTTCGGCGTCACTTAGTGGCCCGACAGAAGTCTGGCGTCACTCAGTGGCCAGGCAGAAGTCTGGCATCAGTTAGTGGCCGGGTGGAAATCGGGCGAGGGTCAAGAAGTCTGGTGGCAATAAAACTCTAGTTTATCTTCTTCCTTCTCCCCCTTGCTTGGGTTCTCCCTTTCATAAGAAATGAATGATCTATTTATAGCTTTCTAAGAGTGGCATGACCTGTAAATAGGAGGAAAGTCAAGGAAAAGTTAAGAGTAGTTTGAATGGTCTTTCGATGTTGACTCCCTTGATTATGCATCATTTACTGAACTTTTGAATGTCTTAATGATATCAAAATTCAGTGATCTTGGGCTTGTTGGATTTGTCTCGTTGAGCCGCTCAATTCGATTATAAGCATGTTACATTTGGTGTTTATTTGGTAATCCAAATTATGGTTTGAACCTTCTGAAGTGCTTCGGGTCTTTGATTTGGACCCATTTGGGCTTGGATTGAGTCAAATGATGTCGTTATGTTCCTATTTTTGAGATGTTTAGTTCGACTGCATGTTTGATGAAATTGGAGTTCGGATGGTTCCATATTTAATTTCAAAAGTTTGCAACTTGATTTTGTCTTGAGATTCGTGCCTGATTAAGATAATTTTTTGAAGATATATCATGGTTAATGATATTTGACTATTTGAGAAATTAATATACATTAAGAC